ATCTAATATTATTCCCTCCTGAAACTCCATTCAATGGGAAGGGAAAAGAAAGAGACTTTTTTTTTTTTTTTTTTTTTTTTGCAGGTGTTGGGGATCAAACCCAGGGCTTCATATACTGCAAGGCTGACACTCTACCACTGAGCTATATCCTATCCTGAGGCTTCTTTTTATAAGAGGCATGAACAAGAAAAGAAGAGGATACAGATAATAGCAACATAATTTTGGAAGTTGGAAAGCAAATCAACTAGAGCTAAGTAACAAACTTCTTATGTTACTATCAAATATAAGAAGAGAGCTTGGAACTGGGGTTGTGGCTCATCAGTAGAGCASTCATCTGGCATGATTGAGGCCCTGGGTTTGATCCTCAGCACCACATAAAAATAAATAAAATATAGGTATTGTGTCCAACTACAACTAAAAAATAAATATTAAAAAAAGAAGACAGCTTAATGTTTCTGCATTTAACATTTGCTATTCATAGAGTCAGCCTGATGAGTCATATTATAACTTTGGCATCTCCTCTGTTTTACTCTTTCTGCAGAATAAACTGCTAAAGGTTCTCAAAATGGCCTCTAGACCCTTGGGGATCTCAGAGACTGTTTTCAAAGATTATAAGATCAAAATTCTTAAAAATAATAGTAATAGGGCTGGGATCGTAGCTCAGTGGTTGAACGCTTGTTAGGGTTAGGGTTGGGTTAGGGTTAGGGTTAGGGTTAGGGTGAGGCACTGGGTTTGATCCTTAGCACAACATAAAAAAAAATAAATAAAGATACTGTGTCCATTTACAACTAAAAAAATTTACTAAATAATAATAATAATAATAATAAAACATTATTTGCGGCCAGCTGCAGTGGCGCATGCCTGTAATCCCAGTGGTTTGGGAGGTGAGGCAGGAGGATCTCAAGTTCAAAGCTAGCTTCAGCAACGGCGAGGTGCTAAGCAATTCAGTGACACTCTGTCTCTAAATAAAATACAAAACAGGGCTTAGGATGGGACTCAGTGGTCAAAGGACCCTGAGTTCAATCCCTGATACCCCCCCACCCCCCCCAAAAAAAAACCCTTATTCCATGGAACATCATTTTTACTTCAAAGAACAACAGATAGAGAAACCATGGTTATTTAGACTGGGTTACAGCAAACATGCTTTTGAAAATTAATAAAGTGTATCTGCTGCATTAATAAAAACTTAACAGTAAATTGTTGCAGCAAAAATATGAACTTTAAAAACTTTGGGTGGGCATAGTGGTACACACGAACAATCACATGTACTTGAAAAGCAGAGGCAAAAGGATAGCAAGGTCAACATTAGCCTGTGTAACTTAGTAAATGGTCAACATTTAAAAGTATCTGCAAAACTCAGTGAACTAATGATGTTTTTTTCTCTTACGTCCAAAATCATACACAGGGAATAGGGCTGGGGATGTGGCTCAAGCGGTAGCGTGCTTGCCTGGCATGCGTGTGGCCCGGGTTCGATCCTCAGCACCACATACAAAAAAAAACAAAGATGTTGTGTCTGCTGATAACTAAAAAATAAATATTAAAATTCTCTCTCTCTCCTCCTCTCTCACTCTCTCTTTAAAAAAAAAATCATACACAGGGAATAAAGATTCATTCAAAGTAAACACAGTATGAAAAGTTCATAGATAAAATTTGAGATTCCTTACTGCAACTTTAAAGAAACTAAGTAGTTTAGTTTTGGTGCAGTATCAGAAAAGAATACCCACAATTATYTGAAAAAGCTATTAAAACATTTTTTCCCAATTTTTAAAATTTAATTTTCTTTTGTAGTTATAGATGAACAGCATCCCTTTATTTTATTTGTTTATTTTTATGTGGTGCTAATAATCAAACCCAGTGGGCTCACAAGTGTTAGGCAAGCACTCTGCCACTGGGCTATGCCCAGCCCCCTTTTCCAATTATTTATCTGTATGAATTCTTATTTTCTCTACATACTTTAATCAAAACAATGTAATATTACAGATTGAATATAGAAAGCAGATCTTAAAATTCAGCTTCCATTAAGCCAAACATTGAAGCTACTTGCAAAAATCTAAAGCAATGCTACTCTTCTCACTGTTTTGTTTAGGAAAAAGATAGTTAATTTTCTTCAAAATGTATTRTTTATAGTTGGTTTATTGTTAGCTTGAAATAAATATTTTAAATTATTTTATAATTTTTAAAAAATTATTTTAATTTCTAACATGGAAAATATTGATAAATATAACACACATAAAGAAATCTCTGTGGCAACCTGAGAACTAACTTACGAACAAACTTGAAAACTGCTGTAAGAAAATAAATTGTATTCTTGCCAAAAAAAACTACATATTATTTGATCAGTGATATGGCATCTTCCCATTTCTCTTCATTCCTTGTAACATTTACTGAGTATGCTTATTCTTATTACATATTTATCCAAGAGGTAGAATATGAAAGACATTTCAGATATTGAAAAACTTAAAGGAACTAATATAACTTAAAAGTAATTATAATGAGTATAATGGTATCTGCAGTATCAAAAATAAAGCTTACCATAAAAAACAAAGGGTACTTTCAAAATTAACAACTTACTTCTCCACCAAGAACTCTGGCCAGCAAGAAAATTGTCAGTGAACCAAATATCCAAATGGTTATAATCCATGAGACCACCTCAAGGGGGAAAAATTCACATAATTAATATCTTTGTACCACATAAAACTGCTAACTTTTCAGGAAATCAGTTCTCTACTATATTAAAGATAGTTTGTCATACCCAATTTCAGGTCATAGATAGGTTGTGTGAGCTTTCAGGTATCTTTCCAGAACTTAGAAAGAATGCAATGTGAAATACAATTATATAACCAAATTGAAAATTTAGCAATTATCAATTGCCTAAGAAAACTTCAACATTTTAAGACATATGATAAAATATAAGTATAAAAAAGAAAAAAAGAAGTATTCACTTCTAACTTCATGGTTTATGGTATTCTGCAAGGAAAAATGATTTCTAAAATACGTTGCCAATCTTCTCTAGAAATACTTAAGACTTCGATTAATTACATATTTACCCAAGTAGAACAAGGAAGACATTTTAGACACTTTTAACTGCTCAGATTTAATTTAATGATACATGTATACATTTAAAGCTCTGTCTTCTAGGAGGTCTGGAAGTAACACCCTAGTAGTGACAAAAACTCATTGATTACTTAGTTTCTAAATACTCTGTAATTAAAGAAACTAAGACTCCTTAGAGAAATGGTGCTTCTAGGTCAGGAGCAGAGAAAACAATGTAACATTACAGACTGAATATAGAAAGCAGATCTTAAAATTCAGCTTCCATTAAGCCAAACATTGAAGCTACTTGCAGAAATATATAATATTAGCCTGGAACACTTTGTGGGATCACAGGAAAGGAAGTGCTCAAAAAGTATGAACACAGAGGGCAACATGAAGGAGTTTCCAAAGGCTAAAACTGAAACAATTTATGCAATAAAGTAAATGATACTGGATTATATACTAGAGAAAAAATAAATACCCATGAGTTCATACTGACATAAATAACTGAATAATTACATAATAGAAAAGAGGGATARCTGTTCCTTAGAAAATTCCCAGTAATAATGTTGAAGGAATGAAGGAAATAAAGAATTCACTAGTCAGTAAATACTACAGCAATAATTGCTACATGTAAGATCCATCAATGTCCTTTGAGACATATTGTGGCCTCCAGACCTCCAGATGATAAAAAGAACACATTTGTGTTGTTTAAAGTAACTAAGTTTGTGGCAATTTGCTACAGCAGCAAGAAATCAATTCAATGTCAATCCACTATGGTAGAGTTACTTTTTACTTCTCTAAAGCCTTACTACTGGGAATRAGAGTGATATATTTATATTGTACTCAAAACATAAAGACATTGAAGACACAGTGATTAAAATACCAGTAATACTGAAAAAAAAATASTGATGGAATCCTTGTCATTATTTAATTCACTTAAAAAAACAGAAAAATGTAAATAAAAGATACAAAAATGATTGTGCATCATATTTTAAACTTTTCATGCCACAGGGAAAGAAGAAAAGATATGGGCAGTCTTTCTGGCCAGTTCTGGTCAACTGGGAGCAGTCCCAAACATTTACTCCAATGAGTCATACAAATATTAATACTTTCTGTGTGAATGACGATGTGGAAAAATTTAGAAAGCATTAATCTAAGATACACTTATTTAATTATAGAACAACTTTARGAATGCACAGTGAGAAATATTGGGCAAAGGTAAAGCATTACTCAAACATAATAATTCAGTTAATATTTGTCTATATTTAAGTTTTGAAATTTTTGAATTTATTACAAAATAAGATGTACTTACCCTAAACTGTCCATATAATGATATCATGGAAAAGAAAAGAACAACAGCCAGAGGACCCCAAAAGTCAGGATTGTCTCTCACCACTTGTCTGTTAAAACCAAGTGATGGCATTGGCATCAAAACACATCGAATTTTGTAGTAAATATCCTTTAGATCGATATCCAATTCTTCCCTATAGTTTCAAAATAAAAATTCACAAAAGACACACAGTTTTGAATACTAAGTTGCAAAAGAATATAAAAGTTTAAATATGACAGTATTATACCCAAAGGTCAACAACACATTTGCATTTGAAGTACTATATTTCACTGATTGATTCTAATGTGAAATATCCAAATTAATTTTAGAGATGTTTCAACATTTCATCATTTCTACAGCTGGGATATAATTCACAATTGCTGCTATCTGGTAATTGTTGTTAGCCTGGAATGAAACCAAGTGCTTCCATTTATCTGTCTTACTTTAGTCAGTCTCCTAGAGGAGTTTAAGGCAACTTTTAATTTTTCTGCTTAAGATTTTTGGGACCATACTGATAATTCAAACTATAAACCTAACAGGAGGACCAGTGTGGAGTTTGTTATTAGAGGAAATTTTGTCTTCCAGCATTCCACTCAGTGTCAAACTGAAGCAAATTTCCTTGGTGTCACTTTCTGTGTTACAGGTTATTTTTCACTCACCTTTACAACAAGACAACTTTTCTGGGTGGTACTGSGGATTGAACCAAGGACCTCACATATGCTAGGCAACTGCTCCACTGCTAATCTATGTTCTTGGCCCAGAAACAGTCCTTTGATGTCCCAGTTTTGTACTGTCTTGAGCACTGTACTTTTCATTAATGTGAAAAGTAACTTCATTTTATAATCCATAGCATCTTAGATTTGATGTTGTGTAACATATTAAAAATAGGATGTTTAGTTCTTAATCTATCAATAATTAATACAAAGAATAATTTAGTAATGCCTCAATTTTACGAAGGTATAAGAACTTCTTTCCAAAATTATTACTTCCTTCACTTTTTCCCCCAGATGACAATCACAAAATTTCAAGAAAAGTGAAGAGTTTCTAGAGTTCTCCCAGTGGCAACTTTAGAATTTCTATATGAGAGATCTTGGATTTTTTTTTTTTGAAATTTAATTTGTTTTAAACCTGAATTTCAACAGAAATTATTTTTTTGAGAGAGAGAGAGAGAGAGAGAGAGAGAG